CTGTGCCTGGGGTTGTGCTGACCCAGGTGTCATGTTCATGGAACATAGAAATAGCATCTTTGGGATAAAATCCAACAAATTGTGCCATGTTTAGTTTGTGGGGTGTGGTGTTTGGAGTTTTTTTGGTTGGTTTTTTTAGGTGTAGATATTTGGTTTGTTTTGCTTTTCTAGCAATACCTATTCAATACTTTTGTCTAAATATGTTTTATAACTTCAATTCCTCTCTTTTATTCCTTGCAGGAATTTAAGCAAGGCTTTTTTTGTTGCACCCCTCTTTAAACTAGAGGGAATTAAAAAGGAAGAGAGAGAATGTGAAAATGAATGCTGCTGTCACAGGGGAAGTTTTAATCCCAGTTTATGCAGTTTGTTGGGATTCTTTGATATTCAGTAACTAACAGGTCCCCAGGAAAGCAGAACTGCTTTTTTACCTTAGTGGAAAGGACAGTTACGTGTGGTCAGTGCATAACAAGACATCTGAGTGCCACGCTCCTTTTATTCCTTTGTAGACTCAAGATTTGGAGCAGTCCCTACTAGACAAGTTGATAATGACTCCAGAAATCCCCCCAGATGCTGTTCAGAACAGAAGCCTTTGCAGTTTACCACCGCTGGAGAGAAGGTGCTTGGTGGGAGTCTTTGTGGAAATAATTGTCTCTCCTAGCCAGTTCTACATCCACATCTGCAGCAGCGAAACATCTGATAAACTGCAGGATATGATGGTTGAGATGAGGTGCGAACATGCTATCCTGATTCAGTACTACTACTTGTGTGTGTGTGTTTGTGCTGAGGGAACACGACGCCCAGCTGTTGGTTATGGTCACTGCTGGCTTGATTACTTAATGCAGAGATGCCAGGGCTGTACTGAAACATGTACTCATAATGCCTACCCATTGCTTCTAACTTGCAAGCAATAAATATGGTTAATAGCAATTCACAGTATTTTGGCTGTGTCCTAAACTTTAAAAGCCTGGAAAGGAATGTTAACGTTCCTTTGCACCTCTCTATTATCCATGCTACTGTGGTTAATGTGCTCAGTTAAGGCTTTTACTTCCATTTCCAACACTTACCAAAAAGCAACAAGTAATAGGCCTTTGACCTATATTTGAAAACAAAATTCTGTCATTGATTTGTCAGCTACATTATGCATTTAGAATTCTAATTCACCACAATGGTGCAACAATTGCTGTTAATTGTGTGCCAAAGTAAATGCTTGATGTCTGTGGGGCGCATGTAAGTGTGATTACAGAGTCTGCAGACATACTGTGTATGTGAGCTAGTATACCAGGACCTGGTTCATAGGAAGCACTGGCATGTCAAGGTAATGTTAAACATTAATAACTAGAATAATTGTATGTAGCCTGTGATTAATCCTTATTAATTAACTTTTTGTTGGACCCCAAGAATATAATTCAAATATTAAAAGTTTGGGTTTTCATTTTATATTGCCATTTCAGTTTGAGTGTGGCAGAACTGAGATGTAAATGATCTATTAAGTTCTGAAAATTCATGTCATGAGGACTCTGAGAAATCTGGATTCTTCTGAAGCCCTGTATATTTCCCTGTATTCATCTCCTGCATCCTACTAAGCACGGTTTCTCATTATGATCTTTTGCAGACACTGTTACTCAAATAAACTTGTTTCTGATCGTTATATCATGCCTGAGTCTTCAGTACAGCCTGGACAGCTTTGCTGTGTAGCAATCTCAAAATGGTGGTACCGTGTTATCATCCACCGTGTGATCAATGACAAAGATGTAGAGGTTTTCTACCCGGATTACGGAAACCTCGAAATTGTCCGAAAGTCTTGGCTGAGATTCCTCAAGTAAGTAAATCATAGAATGATACAGGATTACAGAATGGTTGAAGTTGGAAGAGACCTCTGGAGGTCATCCTGTCCAACCTCCCCAGTCAAGCAGGGCCATCTAGAGCAGGCTGTCCAGGATCATCTTGCAGATTTGCTGAGAGTAGACTTGCCCTATCATCCAAATCATTAATGAAGATGTTGAACAGTATTGGACCCAGTAATGACCCCTAGGGTACACTGCTAGTTCCTGGCCTCCAAGTAGACTTATACCACTGATTACCACTCGCTGAGCCTGGCCCTTCAGCCAGTTCTCAGTCTACCTCACTGTCCATCTCACCATCCAGCCCATACTTCATTAGCTTCTCTATGAGTATCTTACAGGACACAGTGTCAAAAGCCTGATAGAAATCAAGGTAAACAATACCCACTTCTCTTCTCCCACCTACCAAGCCAGTCATTTCATCATAGGAGGTTGTCAGGTGGGTTAAATATGACGACTTCTTGGTGAATCCATGCTGGCCACTCCCAGTCACCTTGTCCTTCATGTGCCTGGAAATGGTTCCCAGAATTAGTTGTTCTGCTGCCTTCCCAGATATTGAGGTGAGGCTGACAGGCCTGTCTTTCTTCAGAAAGACATCCCAGCATGTGGATTGCCTAGAAAAAATCTGGGCTTTTATTCCATAATTGTGTCTTGGAGGCATTTCCTTGCTTACATGCTAATGCTTGCCATGACATTGTTTAAGACCTATTTTTCTGATCACTCCACATCCTTTGCTCATCAGTCCTGTCCATCACTACCTCACTCTGACTTTGGGCTAAATCCTTTACTGTTTCTGCCTTCATTCCTCAGTCTTTCCTCTTGCTGCTTTCCGTTACTTTGGGGCAAGCTCCCTAATCTTCCTTCTTGGGTTCCATGGATGGATGTGAACATCCTTCTGAATGGACATCAGTCGAAGTGGGACACATTTGCAGTGTTAGAGGTACTTGTTCTCCTCTGCAATTTAGTACCTTTTCGCTATTTCTTTCTTCCCTATCATTTGCTTCAATTTGTGCCTGGCCACAGGCATTCTTTGTTTCAAAAATCATTGCTTTCTGTCTATAAGTTGGTAACCATAAGGGGGTTTGATGGGAAGATGCTTGGGCAAGGGAAGGCATAAGGGAGGAGTGTTTTCCAAAACTGCTGCCAGGCTTTAGTCATAAGTGCAAAATCCAATATGTGCCTCTCTATTTCTAAGCTGATTTTAAAACCCGGAAGAGGAGGAAGTTCTACTCTTCTGCCTGGTTTTGCTCTGTTTTTGATGTAATGTTGATGGCTTTGTTTTGTATTGTAGGTGGTGTTACTTGAAGCTTCCTGCTCAGGCCATCCCATGTTCCTTGGCATGGGTAAAACCCGTGGAGGTATGTCTTCACAGGCAGTTTTGTTTCTGGACATATATAAGAGCTGTCAAGTAGAGGTTGCCCTCAAGTAGAGGGCCTGTTGATGTTTACAGCAGAATTGTTGCTGTTAAGTTCAGCAGAGTGTGACTGCGTAACTCTCTCTGTCTTGTCTCTCTCCCTCTCTCTGTCTCTGTGCCTTCCTCTGTCTGTTTTCTTTATGATCAGAATATTCTTGCTTATATTGTTGCAGAAACAGATAGCTACTGCTAAGCTGCTGGTGAGACACTGGCACAGGTTGCCCAGAGAAGTTGTGGCTGCCCCATCCCTGGAAGTGTTCAAGGCCAGATGGATGGGACTTTGAGCACACCGGTCTAGTGGAAGGTGTCCCTTGCCTGTGGCAGGGGTTGGAACTAGATGAGCTTTAAGGTCCCTTCCAGCCCAAACCATTCTGTGATTCTATGAAACTTGTTTCTTTCCCTGCCAGTAATTCTTTTAACATTTATAATCCAGGTTCCCAGGAATTTGAGAAAACAAACAAGAAAAAAAACCCTGCAGAACCTAAAAAACTATTTTAGGCAATTGTGACAAAATCACTGGCCATCAGACCACGTTTGGAAATAGGTATTAGAGTGAAATTGGTATTAGAGTGGAAGGGCATTCCCAGTGTAGCTAGCACTTCAGGCTTTGGGGTAGTTTGCTGCATATCAGTGCTGGGAAGCTTGTCTGCTTGGCTTTCCTGTATTTGTCCCTAGCCTGACCTAGCTTAATTGCCTTTTTGACAAGTGCCTTCAAGGGAAAGTCTCAAGTGGTGGACACTGGTCTGTTTATAGTAACTTTACATTCTTGTTTCTTCTTTAGGGTATGTGGTCCAGTGCAGCAACTCTCCTATTTAAGAACCTGTGTAGTTCCAAGATACTTGTGGGCATTGTGGATGAATATGTCAATGGCATTTTGCATCTTTTCCTGTGTGACACATCCACTAAGGAGGATGTCTACTTCCACTGTGTCTTGAAGGATAAAGGATATGCTGACATCTGCGGAAATAACATTCCTTCTGAGGTCAGGAGGGAGGCATGTGCTGCTGAAAGACCCAACCAAACAATAACATCAGTTGGGTGCCTATAATGTGAAGATCTTTAGCTTGAAGCAAGTAATTTTGTGAAGAGAAAACTGGTATTCCCTGCTTTCATGTAACTTAACATTTTGTGACTGCATCTCATGGTGTCTAACTCTATGCTGAGAGCTTGCTTTTTGGTTAAGGTGGCATCTGATGGTACAGCAGCGATGTTCTGGTTTAGTAGAACTAATTATTTTCACCCTGTCTTCTAACAGGATTAGAAGGTTTTGATTTTTTTTTTTTTTAAGTTGATTAGCTTGTTAGGATTGCAGATTCATCTGGAGCTGACACACTTCTCATATTAATAAATGGAAAAGTAAAATAGCTGTAAATGTTCTGTGCATAAGGCCAAACTGAGATGGAATTAAAAGGTTGTTAAGAGATATGTTAGTTACTTCACTAGCCGTTGTTAATTCCAGCCAGGTTGGTTAGTCGTAAGTTGAGGCCCCTGATTCATCCAAACAATTAGTCAGAGCATGTTGATTAGATTTTATTGTCTAATTTAAAGTAGTGCTACACAGTGGCAGTGGCAGTTGAGTGAGGAACAAGATAGTTAAATTATTTCAGCCTTCTCTGCTGTAGGCACTGAAGATTGGTTTTGACATTAATAAACTGAATTACAGAAATGGGCTTGGTTTAAAAAGTCTTTTACTTTGCCAGTGAATGTACAATGTTGGACAGTGTAACCACATAGATTACACGTTGTCCCTTGGACCGACAGGTTGTAAGCCAGTGTGAGAGCATTTATGATTTGGGCCCATCTGTGTCGTCTGAATCTCTCAGCTCAGTTTCAGCAAGAACTGTGTAGAAATGAAAACCCTTAGAAAGGTACAGCCATGATTTTATATCTCAGCAGAAAGTCAGGCTTTACAGTCTGCTGTGCTTCTATCTGTTGTTTTAATCGATAAAGAGTGTTTTGGCAGGATTACTATGATTGTATTTTTGCATATGTATGTCCAATTTTGGGAGGAGGGGACCACTACTGAGTAATTTTATTACTCGAGAGAGAAGCTGATTTTTGTAGGAAGAGGAAGACAGTTTCTGCAAGGATTTGGAGCTAACTTGTGGGTTGTGTGCTTCTTCTTAAAACCTATTAGAAACTTGAATCATTTTTATTCTTTGTGGCAGTTACAAAGTGTTTTTCTTGACTATACTGTTTTTTTCTTTGTTTGTTCCTAGGGATTCAAGGAACTGAATCCTTTGGCCTTGTATGTTCAGCCCAGTGAGAAGTGGGAGAATGCTGAACTGGTGGAACCAGATCTTTGCTTGCAGCAGGAGTCTCTAGATGCAGATAGTGCAACAGCAACTTCAAAGCTGGTTGGGGATGAACTGTGTGATCAGGTGGGAGTTTGGCTATGGTGTAGCTATCATTCAATAAAATCAGCTCCAGGGGTCAGTAGACATTGTACTAAACCATATGTATTGGTTTAGTCCCATGCAGTTTTTTGTGGAGTTGGTGTATTGCTTTTACAAAAAGCAAGCAGAACCATAATATAAAAACTATTACACATGGACCATAAATACATCTCTAGCTGCTTGTCCTCTGATCTTTTTGCAGACTTCCGGGAGCCTGTGTGCTTAGTGATTTTGCCAGCCTCCCATATGCACCATATTTTTCAGTTAGAGGTGGAATGGACTCTCAGGACTCAAACCAGTACCAGATTCTTGAGATCAGTTTGTCTTAGCACTTTCATGCTTTGCATCCCTGGGAGCCAAGAAGTGTTGTATTTTCCTCTCACATTTCTGGGGTTTGGCAAAGGATGTATAATAACTTGGGGTGCCATTTAAATGTGGAAAAAGACCATAAGAACTAGTGGTGTATTATTTGCATTAATGGTCTTGCTCATTCCAAACTTACCTGAAAGGAAGCAATTTGCGATCCTGGTTCTTGCAGGAGGTAAGGTCATATACAACTACAGTTTTATTAAAAAGGTAACTCTAACGGTGAATGATCTCTAGATCTGGGTGCTACTTTACACCTTTTATTTCAGAGCATGTTAAAAGAGGAGCCCTTTGCTATTTAACAGATGGAGAAACTGGTGAACAGAGGGCTTAAGCAGGGAGTAAAACCCAGATCTTGAGTGCAGTCTAATGTAGTACTGCTAGAAACACCAGGAACACTTGGCTACAGGTGACTCTCTCTACTTTTCTGTGTTATTTAAATTGTAGTATTTTCATGACACATTTTACTGCAGGGGCCAAAGCACCTTTAAGTAAATGTCAGCTGTTGAAGGGTTAAGCAGTGGGCCTGCTCCAGGGCTGTTTCCTGACATTTCTCTGAAGTAAGAGTAAAAGCTAGTATAATGTTACTAACTTGTAAAGCAGTCATTTAACTAGGCTTTGTTTTAGCCAACTGTGTTTCTGTGCTAGAGAAACTCTCTGAAAGTTATATATCTTGGCTATTAATGGCCTTGCACAGTTGCTGTATTATCTGAACACAAACCAGTGTCATTTGTATGTATTTGCAAAAAATTAATGTAACATAGACTGCACATCTGAGTTCATTGTGTTTGGGGTGGGGGTTAATGGAAAAATATGGAGAGTACCCTAACTAGTTAACTATAGCAAGATCCATTTGTGTAAATAGCAGACATAGCTGGTGATTTGGAGACTAGAGGAATGTAAATGCATTCAGGTGGTTTTGTCATGTCTGATTTCAAGGGTCTTATTAGAATCCTATTCCAGAAATTGCAATCCTCTAGATCCCCTTTGTGTAAGACCGTAAATATTTCCTTCTCTGCTGTTCTGTTTAGCTCTCCAAAATGTTTTCTTCCTTGGTGCATCACTAACATGATCATCAGTGGCAGTTATAAAATAGTTCAAAATGTTTTGAGCTGGAATGAAATGTGTCTAATATGAGACTTGTTAACTGCTTAGCTAGCATTTTCTGGTAACTCCTCTTAAGTTATGGGAAACTCCCTTTGCATTGTCTGATTTTAAATTTGCCTCATCAGGATTAACAACTTTCTTTTTTACCTCCCACCCTCCTTAGGTGCAAAATGTCTGGACACTGTGTTGTATCAGCTCTGTTATGTTGGGACACTTCTCCATGGTAAAATTTTTCAGAACGCAGCAAGCAATAACCAGAAAACATTGCTTGAATAAAACTACTTTTCAAGTGATAAGTTTTACTGTGGAGAAGTTAAAGTGAGAGCTAATTTTTTGTTCATGTAACTTCCTGTCCTTCCATATTATTTCTGCCCATTAGAAGTAGCCCAAACTCTCCATATAGAAATATTAAAACTTCTGAGTAAAACAGGTAAGCTCCTTTGCATTTCTGTTACATTTTAGTGGTATCATCTGATTGCTCTGTAATTTGCTCCAGTGCATCCAGCTTTCTTCTACCCACACTAGCTGTACCTTTTCTTGTTTTGTCCGTCTCCTTAGCAATGGCACCTGTCTGATAAGGAGGAGACACAAGATGATGTGCAGCCATTTTTGGAGGAAGTGAGTGTCCCAGGAACAACAGAGCAAGACACTGAACTTGCACAGGAGGGTACAGGTGAAACTTCTACAGACCTTATGGCAGTTGTTAAGGTAAGGGTATTTTCTCAGCTATTGCTGTTGAGAGGGGTTGTTCTTGGTTTTAGATCATTTGAATAACCCTTTGATTGCTTTAACATGTTTGGGATTTTTTAAGTGACTGGCAGAGAAATTACAACTGGCTGTTAACATGGACTCAGAGCTATACATTTTCTTCTTTGCTGTTGTTTCTGGTGTTACTGATGATGCACTAGTGCTCCACTGGCACATCAAGGTATTGTGGAAACAAGACTGTTTCAGCACTTCATAGATCAAACCTGGCCCTTCTTTATTACTCTACTTCCCCTCCATTCACAGTCTTGAAGGTTACTAGGAGTAACTGGGAGTTACTGTGGAGCTGCGTCATGTAGGTCTCCTTATGAGTTAGGAGAGTGGGTTTGGGAAGGTTGCGGTTTGGGCTGTGCTTTGAGGCATTGTGTGGCGCTGGTGTTGTTTCTTAAGTGGTGGTTAATGCTGAGTCTAATAGGGCTTGCAGCATGATGTTTTGCAGAGTGTTCTCTGCTCTAGGTTCAACAGGGAGCCAGTATCACTCAGGATTTGTTGAGCTGCAGAAGGCATTGCAGAGCTGCAAGTGGGAATGTGCCCCCATGGTTTTGGATAACCACAGCTCCTTAAACATCTATAGGTTGATAGTGGCTGAGACAAAAATCTTTCTAAAAGGATGAGGGGGAGAGTCAGTTCTCTCAGTTCTCAGTTGGTTCTCTCAGTCTAGAGTAGAGCTGGAACAATCAGTGTTTCAGGGATGTTATCTGAAAGGGATAGAAAGAAAGCAAGCTGGGAAAAGGGACCTTGAGAGAGTGAGAGGAGAGGAAGGCTTCTGGTAGCATGCACAGGGCTTAAGTACAATGAGACGGAGGCAGGTGAATAGATAGCAATAGGGTCCTTGTAAGCTAACTTAAATGCTCCCCTGCAAGTATTAAACTGTGTGAGTTTCAAAGCATAGGATCTTTCTAACTGGAATAGAGAGGTCCTGTGCACATTTTCTGTCCCTGACTGTGATCTCTGTTACAGTCTTTAGAAGTGACAAAAATTTCTATTGAGGAAGACAGTGGGATGAAAAAATAATCCTACCTATAGGCAATAGGGGGAGTGAAATGCACAGTGAAATGCACCAGTCAGCTGGTTATGAGGATAGATGGGAGGACTTTGTTTCTCTGATTCCTGCTCATCTTTTGGTCTTACGATTTTGTGGCAGCATCACCAGGTGGCATTCCTTCCTTTTCAGTTTTCACTGCTCATGTTTTCCTTTTCAATGGTAGTGTTCTTAATTGCGTGATTCAGGAGGAAGAGTAGATGCTGCCTTGCTTCCTGCCCCTCATAGCACTCTTAAGGGTATCCTGTCTGGTTTGCCTCTTCTGTTAACTGAACAGCCTCCCATTTTAATTATTTCCATCCCAGCTTTTTCCAATGCTAACAGATGTTTTTAGTGTCCACCCTTACACCTTGTCTGTTTCTGCTTTGCCCTGGAGTAGCAGTGACACTGCCTGCACTGCAACAAGGATAGCGTGGGTAGCAAGAGGAGACAATCTTTAAACCTTGTTCTTTCTCTTGTTCTAACATTCGTTTTTTACCGCATGTTAGGGAGAGGTTTTCAGTGGGCTGGAGGTATCAAGCTGAGTCGTTGGTTAATTGGACTCCGATGATGCCTGTTATCCAAATTATTCTGTCTTGCCATCCTGTCAGCACTGAATTTCTGCTGCCCAGCTGTTGTAGGTCTCCTAGATACTTCAGGAGTGCCTCATGGTCCCCTTGTGGGGGACAATTTGAATCTGCTTAAATCTGCTTGTGTAAAACAATTGTTTTGTTCTGGGCTTATCCTCTGAATGCATTCTCACCAATGGGTGAAGCACCTCTGGATGCTGATCCACCCCTTCTGAAGGTGGATGCCTTTCTTCTGCTGCCTTGACAACAGAAGAACCCTGGACAGCAAGCACCTTAGTTCTGAACAGCTGTGATTGGGCAAGGTGAATTGCTGCTTGTCTGTGGTTTCACTACTTTTCTCCTCTATACTGAGTTAACAAACATTGCCTCTAGTCCTTATCTAGGGCTGAGACATGTGTGACAATCCCTGAAACTTAAATATAATTTGTATTCTAAGCAAAAATGCAGAGGGACTTCCTCTGACTCAGCTCCCACTCCCTTGCAGAAACTCCCTCTGTCATTGCCATCATTTGTTCTGTGTGGGGCTGCTGATAGATGAACCAGCTGTTAATTCCTTGCTTAAGACATGATGATTTGTATCTTGTAATAATCTGTCATTCTTCAGCTGTGTAGGAAAAGATGCCTTTTGGCCGAGGTTGTGAGGAACTAGGGGTCTCTGGGGTGTGGGGTTTTGGGTTTTGTTTGTTTTGTTTTTTTTCAAATCATCCACTTGCTGACATTCCAGTTCTTCGCAGACTTTGAGAGATAATAAAGATTAGAGCAGCTAATGAACCAAGCATGCACTAATGACACCCTCTCCTGAGTGGTTTTTTTTGTATACATTTGCAGACACGCCATTGTCTTGAAGAGTCCTCAATGCCTGCTGTCTTATTCAAGTCAGTGGAAGACTTTTACACCTCCTATATGTACTCTAAGGAACCAGGAGGAGTGAGCCAAGATAAGCCTAATCAGATAGAAAGATTTTCCAGCAATCTCCAACTTTGTGAAGCTGTACATCCCTCTGTTCTACTTATGGCAATACCGTTTATGGACAACCATAACAGTACGAATAGATTTGTCAGTTAAGGTTAACACGGCAGAAAGCCGAGCAGCCTGTTAACTGTGCTGCGAGTCTTGCAGTCACTATTGGGTGTCTTAGGACTGGTGCTCCTTCTTTGCTAGATGAAAATGTTGGTGTTTTTATGGGACGGAGATGTGACAGTAATAAATGACTGCGTGCAATGCATTGGTTTGACCTTAGTGCAGCAAAATGGATTCCTAAATGTTTAATGGGAACAAATGAATTGAGGTTTATTTCTCCCTCTGTTGATTTTTATTGTCTTTTTTTAGACTTTCTGCTGCTTTCATGCAGAAGTCTTTGTTTCTCCACTTCATACATGAGCCTGTTTGTTTCATACCAAGAGTCTCTCGATCTCTCAGCTGTAAGGGACAAATCTTAAACCTTATAAGGTCCCTCTCTGGGTGTTCATTTTCCATCTTCCAAATGATGAAGAAATTTACAACACTCATATGAGAGTTGCCTTTTTTACGAGGTAGATTAATGACTCGCTAAAGGCAGTGCCTGTTTGTGCCTTGAAACAGAGCTTTCTGCTCTCTCTCTGGAGTGGAGACCCAGTTCTCCAGACAGGAGCTACTCAGTTAACACCTGATTTCCCACCTCTGGGAAAACTGGGGGGGCCACTGGGAGGAGCAGGTGAGAGGCTCTTGGAAGATACAGTGTTGGGCTCATCAAATAGGTGGGCAGTAGAAAGTCCTCTTGCCATGACCTAGTAAGGCCCAGGCAAAATGTATTTCAGTCTAAACTGGAGCTCTTAGAGTTGCCAGTGTCGATACCATCTTTCTTTTCTGTGTCCTTCCTTATGCAGATGAAGAGCAAATGAAGAGCAAAGACCATCCCGGGGGTCTTGCAGTTAGCCTGTGCTTTGCCAGTGGGCTGTCTGAAATGGGGCTGTCTCGGAAACTCTGTGTCCCTCCTACCACGCTACCTGCAGTGCTGGCAGCTGCACGCTTAGCCTCTTCCAGTAACTACTTCCACTGGCTCCCCAGCCTGAGAAAAAAGGTGTGAGAAGAGAGGAGAAGCTGGAGCAGCTGCCGAGGACAGCAAAGGCCTTCTCTGTGACTGTGCTGTCATTTTCTTTGTTCAGAAATGTTTAATCCCTTGAAAATCTTGGAGACTTACACCTATTCATATGTGCCCGGTACATGTGATAAATGTTACTTTTACTGTTAGGAAAGTAGTTTGGTTTTGTTGTGCTGGTTTACTGCTCTTTAATGGTTCAGGAGAACATTTAAGCGTCACATTATGTTATATATTCTTTAAGTTTAGGAGAGGGAAACTGACTATCTGTCCCTCCCTCCTTCAGCGCATGAGCAGTTTGACATTGTGTGCAGAGATGTTTTTGGTTTTTAACACAGTGGATGCTCTACGTGGTCTTTGCTGTTTGAAGAGCTGGTTGTATCCCAGCTCAAGACTCAGACCATTCAGGTGTTGGTAATTTGCAAGAAGATACCTTTCCCAAGAAGATGCTCTGAATGTTGGTGAATTATGATGCCACTCATACGAAGCATCAGGAATCCCATGTTACAGATACTGAATGAAATCTCTGAAGAATCCAGACGAAGCTTGATGTTGGCCATGTTTATGTAGGTTGTTGCCTGTGGCAAGAAATCCTCTTGAGCTTGAGTTTGTTAATGCAGAGAAAAGCTGTGGACATAGAAGTGCCCTGGTTATGAATGGTGGTGTTCAACTGGTTTGCTGGTGCCCAGACTGTTCCTCAGGTCTTTGGGAGCTTCAAGGACCGTTCTGTACCCATCTGTAAACGTGCCAGAGGTATGTTTCACTGCAGACCACCAAGTAAAGCTCAAAATAGGGCTTAACATTAATATTGCAGTGGATAAAAGACCAGCATAAGAAGTTTATTGTTTTGACTTGATCTTTAAAGCTCTCTTCCAACCCAAACCATTCCATGACTATTTTGTTTTAATTTCAGCATTTAGGGGTGGGTTTGGATGTGAAAGGTCTTTAAAAAAAAACAAACAAAAAAAACCCACAAAAAAAAGGTAGAAAGAGAAAATCTGGGGCTCACTGGGAAATGACCGTGCAGAAAGCATGAATGAAGGAGACTGAAGCAGAGAGGTAAGGAGCTGGGCCTTGAGCAGGGGCTATAGAACCCTGCGAGAAGGTTTAGAGGTTGCCTGACTTCTCTGGTCCCGTGTTCAAGCTGGGGGCTTGCCTCAGTTGCTTAGCATAGAGAGTAACTGAAACAGAGCTGAGGTTGCTCACAGCTGTCTGGTGATGGAGCGCTTCCCTCCAGCACCACCCTCTCTGCCGCAGGAGTCCTTTTTTTGGTTGCAGGGAGGTGAGAACTGTGGCTAGTCCTGAGGAGACCCCTGTGTCCTCTACTGCCTGTCCCCGGGCTGCAGCAGGAGGCCAGCAGGCTGGAGGAGCTGTCACCACGTCCTTGCCAGATCACTGCTAGGTGGCGGCCGAGGCTAGCTCTCTGCTCCCTTCAGCCTAAAACTCTGGGGCTCTGGGGGTGAGGGAGGTGAGGAGCTGAAGATCTTGCTGGGTGGGCATCATTCCCATCCCCAGCTGAGGCTGCCTGGGGTACAGCAAGTCCTGCAGCTGCCTGGCAGTGTAACTGGGAGCTTCTGGGAATGGGTGCAATTGGGGGTCTGGGAGGGTTGTGTGTGAACACTGGGAGCGCTTACTTGTGTGCAGAAAGTGAGAAGTGAGCCTATTCTTGGCTATTAACCACTGCACATCACCCTTTTTGCGTGTTCTTCCTGGGTACCTGTTGGTGTGCAGGGCCTTGCTGTGATCCCGTGCTGGTGCTTAACTGGTCAAGATATCTTTATTCCTATGAGGTTTTGCCATTCACATGTCATCTGCAGGTGCTTGATTAGTTTTCCACACCCTTTCAATCAAGATAAAAGGTGTATGAAGAACTGAAGAACTTTAACCCTGAGCCTGGATAGCCCCCCAGCACCCAAGGGGCAGAAAACCCACCTGGAGCTGCTCCCCTGCGCCAGAGTGACCTGGGCTGATCTTTCGCATCTGTGTGGCAGCATCTCCCTCCACAGAGCAGCTCAGGTCATGTTTCTCGTGCCTAGCAGGTCCCTGTTTGTATGTTTGTTGCCTAAGGCAGTAGAAAAAGAGAAAGAGGCCTCAGGCTGGAAAGCGATGCCGTATTTGTGTCCCTGCTCTGGGGCATTGCTGTGCTTGTGCCAGGGGGTGGGGAAGGAGAGGTGGCTGTGCCAAGCATCAGGAAAAAAAAGAGCAAGACACGAGGTACCCAGCCCTGCAGAGGTGTCATGAGAAGGAGGAAGGTGTTCTGCCCTGTGACAGCCCTGTCTCTGCAGGGGTCAGGTCTGTCCTGGAGGGGCCGGGGATCCCACCCCATCCTCGAGGAACAACTCCATGGGGCACTGTGAGCCCTTCTACAAGAGTACCATGGGGCGGACATGCATGCAAAGGGTTCAAGCTCCTCCAGCAGAGAGCAGCTTGGGGTGGAGCTTGCTTTCCTCTCTTCTGCCCCTAGTTTCCACCCTCCCCATAGCTGTGGGGCAGCCATGCACAGGCAGAGGTTATTAACTGGGAGTCCCGCAGGCAGAGAACCAAAATGTTTAGAGCAAATTAAAAATTGAAGGGTGGTGCAGCTCTGCAGCTCTCCCTAAAAGCTGGGGTGAAGCAAACACCGGTGAGGTGTGCGCTCCAGGGACTCGCTAATGGACTCGGGTGATGTGCAGGGTCTGGGGTCAGCCCTGCCAGGGGGATGGAGCTGGGGCAGGCAGCTCTCCCCCCCGCTGCGGTGCTGGGAAGCAGGTGCTGGCATCTTGGAGATGGAAATGTGGGGTCAGCTGGGGCCATACATGCAGGAGCAGAGCCAGACCTGACCCAACTAGAGAAGGACCCTGGGGTGACAGTGGGTCTGGAGAGGGTGAGGAGTAATGCTCTGGGCAGGGATGTCATTTTGGCGGGGGGAGGCTATGGAGGAGTGTGCGGTGGTGTCTGTGTGCAGCTGCCTGGCCATGGCAGTAACTGAGTGCTTTGAGTTTTAAACGGGCTGTCAGGAAGCATTTGGCTGACAGGGAGGAGGCTGCAAAGTGACAGCTTGCTTTGGATGAGCAAAGTGCTGTGGAGGCAGCCAAACAAACGCCTCCCTCCCAGTGCCCCAGCACACAGCCAGGCTTGGCAGGGCTAAGGTTGGGGTACCCAAGCTACATGCTGAAGGCATGAGGGGTCCTGGACTAGCCTCTGCTGTTGCTGTGTATGGTGCTAGCTCGGTGTGGTTGAAATTTTCCAGATCAATGCATCAGCCCATCCCTTCCCTGCTGCCCCTCTGCACTTTTGGCTCAACCCATGCTTTGCAAAGTGGGGTTCAATGCAGCACGTCGTTTGGGCTTAAAAACCACAATCAAGTGCTTCTGACCCCAAAAACCTTTGTCTCTTTTAGATTTTTTTTTTTTTTTTCAGATGGAAATTGACTCTTCCTGCTTTGCTGAGGATAAAAGTGCACTCAACCTTGCATCAGATTGTTTCACTTGACCCATGAGTAAATGCTTTTCTTTCCTCTGACCTGGAAGGATTTCTTTTTCCTTCCATTTGGCAAGAAAAAGGAAAAAGCTAATTCTCAGTACAGGTCACTGCAAAACAAAGTCTCTAGCTGGGGCTAGCTTTTCAGCCTGAGCACTGTGCTAAAAACCATCAGCTCTTCCCACTGCTCCCAAGTGCATGCATCAGTCCCTGGAGTGGCTCCCTTTCTCTTGCACTAAAAAGCCCCACTTTCCCCCGCATCTTGCTGGAAGCAAACACTGCCAGGTGGGAGAGCAGCCTCTGGCTGCTGGGTTTCAGATGGGGATGGTGCTTGCGCCTTGCTGGCTTTTTGGAGCATGACTTAGCAGCCACCCCAGGATGATTCCTACAAGCTAACCCCCACTTCATCTCTGCAAAAGCCCCTTTGGGTGTTTTGAGGGGATGCTGAGATATTCCTGCTTGCAGGAAGGAGGGTGAAGGAGAGCTGGGGCAGCAATGCTGCTGGAGCATCCCTGAGGTGGGAAATGGGTCAGTGCTGCCTTTTAGTTGAATCATGGCTGTGCTCTGGGGTGGATGGGGCTTAGTACCAGCTGCAAGGGTCTGTGCACACCCTGTCCCACAGAAACAGGGGCTGTGGGTGTCCTCCTGAGCACCCACTTGCATCTAAGTGAGACCTCCCATCTCTTCTCCCATCTCCATCTTGGACCTGGCTGCTTGGGTGTTGTTCCCAGCATCAGTGGCACTGCTCCAAGTGCAGCACCCAAAGGAGGGGGGTGGGAGTGAGTTCTTGCAGGTGCTGTGCAATGCCTTGAGCCTACAGGCGGCAAGAGGAAGGGGTGAGCAGCTCATGGCATGGGCTGCTCTGTACCCAGAGTTTAGGGAAGTAAAACTACCATCCCACAGCAACCAGTTGGATGTGGGGCTGTTCCTGTTGAAACCCTTCACCATCACTGCTGGTGCTGATGATGGGTTAGTAGGGCAAACAAGGAGGGCTTGGGACAGGCGAGGTTCCCCCCAGTCCCCGCTGCCCTCACCCTGCGTGTGTGTGGGCTCCTCATCCTCTCCTGGCTGCCAGGAGGTTTCTGTTCTGGTTCAGCTCTTCCAAGGCAGAAGCTGATTGCAGAGGGGTTGCGATCTCACTTATGCTTTTAATCCCATTGCTGTCAAGCTCCATTAGGAGGTTTGGCTTCATCTTGCTACCTCTGGGGCTGGGCCGCTGCTTGCCCAGCCTGAAATGAGGACATGCCTGGGCTACGCTGGAGTGGGCAGAGGAGGTAGGGGTGCTTTTGGGGCCGTCGTTACCACTACTGCTCTCCCCAGTGCTTCCAGCTCTTCAGGGTGCTCAAGGGGAGACTGGCCTGGCTGCTTTGGGAGCAGGATGGAAAGGAGTTGGGGTGGCAGCAAGCACCATTTCCCCGGGCATTGAGGGTGTTTGAAAACCTTTCAGCACTTGCAGCTGCAGCCCGTGCTGTTCTCCACACCAGGAGTGTGGCTCCATGTCGGTCACCTGCTCACGACCTCCC